AAAAAAAAAAAGTCCAAAGATGTTACTAGGTAGGCACAAAATTTGAAAAGGGACCGAAACAAAGCATTTAACATTATGCTTCCTTCTAAACAAAATTTTTCCACTTAACTTACCCCGTCAGTGAGAAAAAAAAGCTTCAAGAAACGAAAAAGTTTCAAATAAGAAACTTCAATTGTAAAGCCTTTCGCTCGCTTCTCTTCGTTCAAACAAACATGGCTAAAAAAATTTTTTTGAGCAAAAAGACGATGAAGTGGATAAGGGTAAACAAAAACGAGAGAGCGACTAAACTATTAATGGATACACATCACAGAACTAGCTTTCGACGATTCTTTGTTTACACACAGTACAATCAAGCAATAAGGTTTAGTTTTAAACTGAGAAACAAACTAAACGGCAGCGGTAAAAAACTGTCGACTAGTATAACAAGTAAAGTTTCCTGAAGCTTTCGCTTCATCAGCTATTTGGAATAATTGAATAGAAAAAATAATATTCGCTAAATACGGCTTTCTAATAAACTGTTGAATTTCTTTTCCACCCCTCCTCCCGCTCTCCACCCAAATTCAATAACTCCACAAAATCAGCAAACAAAGCTTAAAAAATATATCCCATGTACTTCATCGACTGTAAACATTATGTAACTGAATAATAACACTACAAAATTCTGTAAATTCCAAAGCCAAAATTCACCAAACACCTGCTGCTGCCTAATACCCCTTCTCCTTCTCAAAGTTAAACTAAAAAAATCCATTTTTCAGCACGATACAACTATTATAATTCCCTTCCTGCAAAACTCACGCAACCAGCCCATCGACCTCCCAACAATAGTGCCTTTCTTATCATAAAAGCATCACATAATTGTCTTTGAAAAACCGGAACTTAAAAAAAACCTAGGAGAACTAATATTGACATTGTTTTGAGATCAAGTGCTATTACTAGACTTAAAAGAAGCAAAGACCTTTATCCTCAAATATGATATTTTGTCATTGAATGCATACATATTTATACATTTCAGAGAGCTTAAAACACAGTTAAGTAAATGTACAGTATGCTGCAAAATAGCTGCTTAAGTAGATAGAACAATCCTAAAACATTACCAAAAACAGTTTTAGGAAAAGACTCTCGAACAGTCAGAGAAAGACTAACCCGTCCTTGAAATTAATAATTCAACTAAATAACGAACGGTTAAAAACAGTTTTACCTGACAAAAACAATTATTTTTTAAAAATTTGAAATCGAAACAGAAAAGATTTTCCAAAAATAAAAACCTTTTGGTACTCAACCTCTTCTTTTACCGCTGTAATCAGTGTTACATATACTAAGCGTTTAATATCGCATAACTATTAATACAAAATCTTCCAACAGAGTAATGTCAACAAAACCGTTCAATAATAAAGCCTCAAATAACCCTGTCCCCATTTTACGTCACTCTTTCCAAAATGGTGCAAACAGTCAATTAAAAGCCCATAGTTCTAGCCAGCTTTTGTATTCAGTATCGAAATAGCTTCCTTATGTAAACTTTAAACTAAAGCATGCAAGCAGCACAGAGGCCTATATGACTACGACAATCATAACAAGCACAGTTTATCCGTCCACTGCAACTAATTATTTTACCTGACTTTGTAAGCTACGTCTAAATTCCTTTTCCTACATCCTCCCTAACGAAAACAATAGTCAATGAAGATATTTCAAACTCGAGAAAAGCAAGGAAATTTCAAGCCTGCAATATAAGTATTCCAGCTCTTATCTTTATAAGTAAAAAAAAGTAACCACCCAAAAAAATTTAAACTAAAAACTGCATTATATATACATGCATAAGCACTTCTCTCCCTTCACAATCTCCATCCAAAATAAGGCGTGGTATCTACTTTTCGAGAACTTTACTAAAGTTCAAAGAAATTTAAGTGGAACAAGAAAGATAAAGTGACTGACGCCAACAAGATATGGCTGCTCATTTTTGGCAATCTCTTCAACAGAAAAATTAATATACTTTAAAGGTAGTTTGGCCTTAAGAAAGAAGCTTTTCTAAGATCAAACTTCGCACCATTACGCTCTAAAAACCACCCAAATGTTATAAAAGCTCAGGAAATTTATTTCTGAATCAAAGCATTCCCACTGATCTTAGAACTCTAATCTTCAATCTCCCTTAATCCCCTCCTCTGTCTGCGGATAGAAAAAAGAGCTAGATCGTGATTAACAACAGCCTCGCCGTCGTAGTGATCCAAAATATACGTCTACTTAACAGCACCAAAAACAGATCCAAAACCGCTTTTGTGTTTACTTTTTATATATTAACACTTCCAACTTTAGTTAATACCTCCGCTTTCAATAATGGATCCTTTCGAAATTCTCAACTGTTCGCCCTTGAGTAGTACACATTGTTAGCAGCTTACGATACTTCGAAACTTTCAGTACTTATCAGTCCCTTTTGCTCAGTACTGTAAGCGTCAATAAACAACCAATGATTCTGCTGCTAATTTTCGCGTGAAAAGAGAATGAAGAAAAACCCTTCAAATTTTTTCTAAAGTTAATAAACTTTCCTCTCGTAGATTCCTGTGAAGAGTAATGAAATACTACAGCAATAGTATTTTAGCTCTTTACGAAGCAAGAACGGTTTAGTTGAAAAGGATAATTTCTTAGCAGGAAATCAGAGGCGGCAAGACGCTCGTGATAACAATGATAAAAAAACTGCACAACAAAAAAGAATAACGAATTCACAACTAGGCACAATTCCAGTGTGTGCAAAATCAAAAGTTCCTAAACGTAATACTGACTAAGCGCAGAATCTTTATCATTTTCCTTCTCACTGTTCAACTTCCATCTTTTCAAGGTATCTAAAACCTACGCTTCAAGCTTAAATAAAATAGGTTTTAATTTCCTTGAAATAAATAACAGAAGACCTTTTGCCTTACAGAACAATTAATTTTGAACTTTGCAAAAGAAGTGAACTATACGCTCGACCACCTTGGGAACGTGTTTTCGAGGAGGAGTTGTATCCATTACAAGTCCGACTTGAGAAACAATGCAGACGACAAAAAAACTTTCCTCTAATACCATTTTGCCCATCCAGTGCTCCTCGCAAAGTCAAAGCCCAGTTGCATGTTTCAATCCAAATCGAACTCCACGTGCTTTAGTGAGTGAGATTCTACATCGAATAACCTATGCAAACAAGTTGAGACTGAAGCCTTTCGTAGAAGTTTTAAAGATGAAAACTAGTGCGCAATATAAAGAAAAAGTTATGACTTGATAGCAAACACATAATTCTTCTCCACTAACCAGATCCATCTGCCTTCCCAAAAACGCCCCAAGCAGCATATGCAGAATCTTTCAGATGCAACGAAATAAATTCAATCTCATGCTAAGGCTTATCAGAATGCGCCGTTATAAGCAAAAAATCCGCCAACAGCTGGAATCAACAATAAAAATGACGAAATCCAAACATCGCAAACAAGAGATTCTTGTGATAAACATACTTACGCACGCACATTTTATAGGTCGAAAACCTTATTCTACAATTTTTTATTTCGCATTTTGATAAATTTTCAACTCCAAACAGGTTTCAACAGAGTTCCGTTTCTAGCCTAACCCACTAAGCAAAAAAAGGACGAAAGTTTTAATAAAGTTTCTCTTAAAATAAATGTCCATTGAAAATAATTTCCTCCTCTTTTTATTCCTGAAAAATTGTGGCTTACAAAATGAAGTATCGAGGATTTTAAAAACATTTTTTTCAACAATAGTTAGAAAGCCGTTATACTACGTGAAAGCAGCATTTTTAAGAAAAGATGGAGCTGATAAGGTGTGGAATTTAACTGTACTGTAGGAAGAGTGAGTCTCGAATAGCATTTCTGAAAATAAGAAAGTTTTTATCTGGTAATTTAATCTTATAAATCTAGACGCTTTCTTAAAATATATTAACATGATATTCATTAGGATGGTGGGCAGAGTACTGGAAGAAGAAATGCACGAAAAGCCACAGGTTACTTTATTAATACTTGGCAAGAGAGCACTGCAGAGAGTGCACTAGTTACAGATAAGATGTAAGTATGCTGTTGCAAAACAAAGTCAAAACTATGCAAAATATAGGTAATTTCTAAATAAGAATTCGTCTAAACAACAAAGCTTTTAAAAAAAATAGTATTTTCTGCGCTGCTGACGTCCTGCTCCATCTGAAGCAGCGACAGCAGTAAGTAGCATCTGCCTAACAATTCCAACACTGGAAAACTAGTCCTGTCGCCACAGTCGAACAATAAAATCTCACTGTTCGCAATCGTATTCACTCATTATCAAACTAAGAATTCGTATCAAAAACAAGTCTGCCAAAGTTCTAGGAAGAAGTGCCAAAAAGCGATCAACACTCTGCTCGAGAAGCAAGGGCAGTATCATTAGCAACTGCTCAACTTTTGCATTCTTGTTTAGTTAAAATATACCTTCATTCTTAAGTGAAAGCAGTCAAATGACAGTGCATCGTAAAAAAATAAATTAAGAGAAATTTAAAGATCCATCAAGGCAAAGAACCTTAACATTAAAACTCCCATAAATGCTTAATTTTCCGCAACCATAGATGAAAGTTTTTTAAAAACCTTGAAAAATTTGTGCAAAAAGAATGTTACTTTGATAAGAGATCACTAATTTCGTCAAAAATATTACGGATGTTTACCAACTCAGTATATCAAACGTGAACGAAAAAATAACGTATTTTAAAAAATTTAGCTTAATTTAACAACAATAATAAATGAAATAAAAGCCTAAAAATTAATAAGAACTCTCTAAATAGTAAATGAAGTGCTTGAAACGACTCCTATACAACAAACAAACTTGATGATCAGTGCTCTGCTCATTAAAAAATAATACCGGTCAAAAATTTGCCTGCCAGAGCACATTTATCCATGAAAGCCATAGAACAAAGTAGAACTTACGCGTCTTCGAGGACAGACTCTATTGGTGACAACATAGTTGGAACTGCGGCGTTCGGAACCTCGGAAAACGAAGCTAGAGACGTCTGTCGAGAAAGGACTGGAGAAGTGCTGCTCTTAAAGAATAAAAGTAAAATTTAATTAACTCGTACAAATATGAAAGTATGTAGGAAAAAAGACTTCCAGTCTCAAGTGGGAAGCCTGCAAAGCAAGTCCAACTACTTACTGCCGAACGACTATTACTAAATAAACCACCTGATGCTAAAAATCCATAAATAAACCAAAAAGGTAAGAAACCAGTAGCAAAAAATTACAAATTAACCTGCACTACACTCGAGTCACGATTAAGAATTTGCCTTGCGGGTTGAACAACGTTTGCAGACACCGAACATGCAGTCCCATTAGAGTTTACTGATGCAAGATTTGTTAATGATGGATTCACAAGACTTGAGTTAGCTAAACTTGCTTGAGGTGACAAACTACTGATTGTTGCCGTTGTAGAGCTCTGTGTTACAGCCGGAGATAAAGGCACCGATGAATTCACAGTAATCTCGCCTTCGTTCAAGACTGTTAAAGTTGAAGAAACAAGGGGCTAAACAAATACGGTATTCAAGTTTAAAGTATAGTACAAGTGTGAATTTTACTCCCAATTATCGGCATTATCTATGGAATTGCAAGCAAAAAACTTCTAAAACATTTTACTTGCTGCTCTGGAGATGTTGGAAGTGTCACAGCACGAGATGCTCCCCGAAGCAGAGTTGCCGGCGCGGGAGTGATTGAAGTAACGACAATAGTACTCGACTCTTTTGAAGAAGTTAAAGAGCCATTTTCATTCCCTGTGATAGGTCCCGAAAAAACCATTGTTACAGGTGTAGAAGAACCCTCCGTAGATGCATGGACATCGGCAATAGTCTGCGGAAGTGATTCGGCCGTAGCGGAGGTGTCAATTGAAGGAAAAATAATTTCACTTGTAGCATCAGGAACTTAAAAAAAGAATATAAGTAAAAAAAATTAAACTGAGAATGAAAAAAATGGAACCTTACCTGGTTTCCCTCGAGAATTTGGATCAAAAAGTAGAATATAAATTTTTTTCACTTGAACAATCGGATCATCCATATCCTCATCTAAGAATTAAGAATGGCAAAGCAAATTCAAATTACTAAGCGAACAAAAGAAACAGCATAAGACACCACTTTCGGGAGAAGATAACTTAAACTAGAAGCACAAAATAGTTGTGAAGAAACGCTAGCCCTAGAGTTAATGTCTCACCAGCTATCAGCAGTAACGTCGAAAGGACGGATATCAGGCTCGTTAAACACGTGAAAAAAAGAAAAAAATTAAGACCAACAAATTAAGCTACTGCGGATATTTCAGAGCTAAAAGAAATTAGCAAGTCGCAAAAGTAAATACATCGAATGCTGTCTTAATATCAATCAAGAACAACGAACTTCAAGCTGTTAATGCAAAGCTGACAGTCAAAATCAAACGCTAACTTGTTGCTGCGTTCTTTTCAACTTTATCGCTGTAATTTAAAACTTTTTCTTCAACAACGGGATTGTCCCTATAGTCCCAACATTTCCAACGACCACGAGTAAAAACGCCAGGAACAGGAACAACCTAAACAAGAATTAAACAAGAGCTCCAACTACTGCGTACTAACAATCAAGAATCACCCTTAACTTGCGGTAAGAATCACGATGTCTCACACATAAAAAAAAGTAATCAAAGTTGAAAAAAATTAGTTGCCTGAAACTGTCGCTCCTTAGGCTTAGATGTCATTTCTACGGCAACATCTGATTCTTCTGTGTTCACAACGCCCATATCAATAAAAAGAATTACAAATTATACTCTGCATTAACAGCTGAAAAATGTCAAACAAATAAAAGTAAAAATTTCAAAGGCGAAAAACTCGCACAGCAAAGACGCAACTGAGACTACGAACTAACCGTACAACAGCTATTTTAACTTCTTGTTCCCTATGCAAAAATCTAAAAAAAGAAGCAACTTATCGGAAAGAATTCACCAAACTATGAATGATCGTTCCTGCAAGGTGAAAAAAATTGTTTTGAAAAAACAACTAAACAGACTCCAATTTTTATCGACTGCATAAAATAATGACACAAAAAATCACACATTAAAAACTAAACTGTCCCTAGCGCAAAAAATTTTTTGTTCATTTTCAACGACTCAGATAAGACAAAACCAAAAAAGACATCGCAAAAACCAGACCCCATTTTCCTCATAAAGACACCAAAAAGCACAACTTAAGGTAAGCAACAGAGATGTACAGAGAATAAACCACTTTTAGCAAAGCTGGTGATTTTACCTCACCGCTGCAAAGAATAATGCGTGTCGCTCTGCTTTCAGTTATTGCTAAAAAAAACAATTTTCCTCCTTAACTTTAACTTGAACCAAGCTTTGAACATCTCTCATATATTAAAAAAAAGCCTACATATTCCTTCCTTGTTCTTAAATCTCAAAAATCCAGTTTCAGTTACATCTCTCCTAGCCAAAATAACTCTTCAATACGACTTCAACCTGCCCGGAAAACTGCGCCAAATTAGTTTGCGACTGCTCTGCAATTACTAATTTTCTAGAAATAGCTTTGAAGGGTAATATTTATGCTGCTTTATTCTACGGATTTCTGAGCAGCTCTACTAAAGTGTATAGCATCATAACTGAAGGTGTAAAAGTGAGTATATCTTTTACTGAATATCTTTCAATCGCTCTACTAGAAGAAACAGAGACATCAGTAACTAGATTCTAACTTATTCTTTCGTCTAAATTTAATGTAGAAAAAAGCCTTAGCCAAGTTCTAGCTTTTTTTAGTTCATATTCAATTGTTCAACAGCTTCGTTCTAAAAAACTTCAACTACCATATACATTTAAAATATTCGCAACAAAAGTACACAGCAGAAAAGACTGCAATAAGCAATTTTTGACCGACAAAAAGCGAGAATAATGATATCGTGAGTTACAAAGCCCATGCAGGATGTCGATTATAACTTAAGGACTTCCAAATCTGCAACTAATGAACAAAATAAACCTTCTATACCCCATTTTTAACAGCTACTGATGGTACGAATCTGCATAACTGAAGGAAGAAGATATTACTGAAAACTACAGGTTTTAATAAAAACAGATAAATACATATAGGCTTCCCTGAAATCATAATATTCAAGTAAGGTACAATTCAAAACTCCTAGAGCAAAAGTTGAACTAAAGGAAAAAAAACTAGTTTTTCTCGACGGAGGACGACGGTGGAAGAGAGTAGCAGCGGAACAATGTTGAAATATTAGCCTCGAAATCCGTGCCATAAAATCTCGTTCTTAGCGGTGTAAAATTTAGAGCTGTTGCCACACTCTAAGAAAGATGAGATAATACTCGTTCTACAATAACTATCCTAAGAAGATTTGACTAAAATATCTTCCCGTGCACTTAAAAAACGAAAAACAGGTAAACAAAATAAAAAGAAAATATTAATTTTCGTAAAAATTAAGATACATGGTAAAAAAGCTCCTAAAAAAAAAAAAAGGCAATTCTGCCTGGGCAGAAATGTAAAACTGTAAACTCTCATTGATCGATAAAACGTTCTTCATATTCCCTGGTAAACCATTTTCAAATATTTCTTCTTTGCAAGATCTCAAATCTAACTTGCTGCAACTAACAAAAACACCACCTCGGCACTTAATAATCCAGCACATGAAAAAAAACAACAATTGGTACTCTCATTCTTCAAAAATGTGAAAGTAACTCTGTACTGAACTACCTGAAAGTTGGCGAAAATAAAACTGCCAAAAAATAAACATATAAATATATAAAATAAAAACAAAGAGTAAATTTAAAAAGTATCTCAAATGTCCTGTTGAAAACCTTAGAATAATAAAGCTAACTTGTTCACTGTCAATACTCTAAGTCTTCTCAAGATACCTCACACGAATTCATCTGTACAGCAGAGTTATGGCGATTAATACGTGTTACAAAACAGACTTATTAAACTTCGTAACAGCTTATTAATAACAGAGACAAACAAAATAAGCCAAAATATTTGGAAAACACACTTATTTATTGCGCGCTAAACGGTCAAAAAACTAAAACTTTCATAAATGGCTAGTGGGAGTAAAACAAAACTTCGGTAGAACTTCAAAGAAAGAAGGTCTTTTCTCATTTTTCAAAAAATACTCAATTTCCCGAAACATAGAGTAAAACAATCAAAAGAGCCTGAAACGAGATCCAAGAAAGGCTGAAATACCATAAGTACACAATATCCATGAAGACTCAAAAAGACAACTATTCTGAACCAAATAGTAAGTAATTCAATACTATCTGCCTCCATTAGAGCCAAAAATGATCCTAACTGTATCAAGTAAAGTAAAAACGCAGTTACAGCTCTAACACAAGCAAACTAATCAACGTAAATTTCACTGTATAAAAGAGTTATAAAAAGAATATTACATGTGTAGAACTACCAGTTAACAGCGATAAGAAAAAACAACCTGAATAGCTTCTTATATATAAAAATATATATAGGAAACGCAGACATACAAACATATAAACTTTACTTCAATAAGATATACAATTGTCCCCGTAAATTGTCTCGTTGGCTGGTTGCCAGTATTCAGTAATAATGCCTCATTGAACCGGTATCTTTCTATAACAGCTCGAACTTTTAGATAATTTTAGTACTGTAGTGAGGTATCAGTCTAAAATATGCATCAGTTAACTTATACATGGCTGAGGCGTTCATTAAATTTGCATAACTGATTACAGTGATTTACCACATCGAGTATTTATATAATGAATGGTCCAATCGTTGTCTGAAGAAAAGTTTTTAACAGCATCCCTAGCAATCTTTACGAAGCATCCCTAGCAATTTTACAATTAAAGATACTCCATACGGTACTGAATGCACTTTAGTTGAGGAAGTAGGGTCTACGTAATTTTTAAATCAGGTACAAAGAGAATTTTACGGGAGTCTATCATGTTTTGTACGTCAGTTAAAAGCCACTTTTTTTAGGAGACAAGTCCAGCCTCCTTCTGAAGTCTCTATTTTTTAGCTGGACACCTCAAAGCTTCCTGACACGCATTTCAAAATTATTCTAACAATCATACCGCTTTTTTATGCCTTTTACCACTTTAGAAATATAATCTTTTGTAGCAAATTAGAAAAGCCACTCTGAAATTTCCGAAACTTTTATTGCTGAAAATGCACACGATAATTGCCCACTTTCAAAACGCTCAGATACGTAGCAGAAAAAGCTCTTATATGTCTTAGTTTTTGTTATCAAGACTGCATGCACCAGCTGCCAAATAGCTTGCAGTGATCTAGAACTTGCTGACGAACTTTCTGTTACCTGCTTTTCTCCAGAAGAAAGTTCAATTTAGACCACATTTTTCCTTGGAAAGCCCAGTATAGATTTACTTGAAACAGATTAGACGATCCATTCGGTTCACTACTTAAAACCAATAAAAGCCGTTATTTCGGGAACAGACAATGCACGGGTTACTGGGAGTTTTTTTTATAAGGAAACGCAGATACCGCGAATAAGTCACTTGTGAAGTCTTGAGTGAGGGCTGAATAATAAAAGATGCCGAAAGGATCAAATTGCTTTATTTTCCTTACAACATCAGTACATCCAATTCTTTACGTTCGCTGTATGTTAACCTGTAAAAGAACCAGGCTAGGGGGTCATCCATCAAACTGCCCCTTGTTTCCCTCACTAGAAAATAACATCGTGGAAACTCCTGATTTCTGGTAAAATGCAAGCGGTATTGGTAACTTAAAACTAGTCAGCGTTTTTCAGGCCAAATCCGTCGTTATTCTGCTTCGTCTGAATTCCCAGTATCAAATAAAAGTAACATTTATTTGCATAGGTTTAAGAAACAAAAAGTTTTTTATATGAAAAACCAATTATTTTTAAATAACGCTAATGCCCAAACAGCTTGTAATTCATGTAATTAACTGCGCAGTATGTAAACAACCTTTTAAAGAAAACTTCAAGCATAATACAGTTATCTGCTCATATAAACGCCTGGAACAGTTTAGATAAAAAAAATTGAACTTCGGGGCTACTTTTTTTTGCGGCTTTCCAGAAACTTCAAACGATACTTTCACTGGCATGAAACACAAGCACTGTTAAAATGACATTACCGAAACCCCTTTGATTCTGTTACATGCCATACGTTTTTTGAAGTAACACGCTACACTGCAAAAGCGCTGTAATTCAGAGGACCAATTTTTGGCTTACTTACCGGAACTGCACAGGATTAAAGTGTGGAAAGAACTTGCGAAAGACGAAATAATTAACTGCTTTCACTAACGAATTTATCAGTGCCTTTAAACAATTATTGCTTTCAAATTTTTTAAGCAAATAAAAACACAAACAATATTTAGAAGATTAACTCATTTCTAAAATATAAACGTATAGTCGCTTGGCAAAAACAATAAAGGTCAGCTACATGACGACAAACTAGTAACAACAAAAGCCATCTCATCGAACATTTTTCCACCAATCTTTGCCAAAAAAAAAGAATAAAAACAAACAAAAAAAACAACGAAAATAACTTTCAAAAAGATATAAGCTACACAGCTGATCCACACCTTTGTAAACTTAATGCGTATTACATACTACCAAGCTGACGCCTTCAACAATACGGTAACTACTAGCATACTTTCCAAAAAGTCTGCACTGTAGTCTAAGGTCATCCGTTACTTCAACGTTGAACACGAGCCACACAGAACAATGATCATCAGAAATGGGTATATCAGCAAGCGTTAACGCACTACACTGCTTATCCCGCAAAAATATGAACCTTTACAAAGATGATCACTTCATGAAACTATAAATTTGTAGCAAGTGCCAACATCCTCATCCACCCTTGCAAATGTCGATGTGCTAGCCTAGCAATCGAAGCCGTTCAGGTATGATTCAGACGCCCAATGACTTCAGATATCAAACTCATTGCTTCCTCACTACAACCCCCTGTCTCAAAGAAATACCACTCTAAAACTCCCACAAGCAGCACAGATCACCCAATTCCAGCTGCTCCCCTTACTCAACTTCGAAAACGCCCAACAACCTAACTCGACAAACCCAGTACCAAAATATTCATTGGTCGGGATCCGTTCGCCACGGAAACCAGTAACTAATGAGCAGGGCACAGACGACAGGCAAGCCAGACTACAAATTGGCGTACACAGACCAAAATAAAGAACTAAATTTTTAGCCACCACCTTGCTCATTTCCTGCCAGCACCAGCATCTTTCGCACCACTGAAACTTCCTCCTCAACATGCCCCCTTACCTCCAATACTTCGACTGTAGACCTATCTTCAATAAAATGCATAAATTAAGAAAGTTGTGACCAAACCTTTCATGCGGTCAATGGATGGCAGAGGGATACCGAAAAAGAAGCAAAACATGCAGCGGTAGAGGAAACAGCACTAAAGGTATCGAAAAACGAAGAAAGCAAAACAAAAAGAAATAAGGCTACAGCCACCATCTCGGAAAGCTTCAGAACGACCCGTAAGCCTTGAGTGGCAGAGCAACATGCAAACAAATAAACAATCAAACAAGTAGACAAACAAACCCATAAACAAATAGAGAAATAAAAATAATAAACGAGTGAACGAGTAAACAAATAAACAAATATCAGGCAAGAAATAGACGGGGAAAAAAGCACCAGGAAAATAAAAAGAAACAAGATATGCGAAATACAATCCTCGAACCTTGACCTCGCCAGAAATAAAAAAATTCTCTCAAAACTGAAGAATTACATTAACACACAACCCCCCATTGCCACATCCTCAACTGGCACACAGAACATGCCACCTCGATTTCCAAAAACTAATTACATTTGGGATTGACTCCTCACAGTAGCCCCCAACCACTGAGCTAGTGTTGCCGTCGAATTCTGGGTAGCTGCACCATGAAACCCACCGACAACAGAAGCGAAATAACGCACGCCATTCACCTCGCAAATTCCGTACGGCTGCTAAAGTTTAAAAGTTACTCTCAGACACTATTATTAAAGTTGCACTTCCTGGACAAGCAGAACACGGCAAAAAACCACGAAAAAGATTACCGTCGTAAACCAAACTCGACAAGAGTTCATTCTGTAATATTCACACTGCAAATGACTGCTCCCTTTCTCCCTCTCACATCCTTTATTTGGAAGGAGCTGTAGACCACCTCGATTTCCCCTGGAAAAAAATATCAAAACGTTTGCCTCCACATGCCAGGAAAGCAACCCATTTTCCTGTCAATCTAAAAAAACTCCAAAAAAGCGAGTTCTCTGCGCGAAAACATCCAAACTACAAATGTATCAAAACTCAAGCATTTCCCCCTAACACATTACTCGCACACAAACTTGTGCCGCCACCTCATCCAACGTCCATGTGACGAACTTGCAATGATCTTCATCTGTTCGTATATTTCACAAGTCACATTTGGGTGCTCTTCACAACCACAACGCCTGCAGTACGCAGCACCACAAACGTCGCAAAAAGCTAACTGCTCTTCCCCGGTCAACTAAAATGTTTGCAGGCATTTTGAAGCCGAAATCTATGGACATCAGGCAAAAAAGGAAGGCCTTTGCAACCTCAATCACTCCACGGCAATTTCGGATTCGACAGTGACGATATGTACTCAAAATTCGATTCAGCAAGAATGACAGTGCACAATTTGAGAGTACTTCAAGAGGTTTAGAAATAGTCCAGAGATTGTCCAGTTGTCCGATGCCACTCCATAGGTCTACCTTGTCTCCATCCAGCAAAGCTTCCTAAAAGAAAGCACATAATAAAACTATTTATTCCGAACAGTTCCAAATACTAAAGCAGTTTTGTTAATAAGCTATGAAAAGATAAATTTACTTAGTTTCATATGACGGTAGTGACGTAACCTTTGATCAAAAAAAAAAAATGACTAACCGTTATGTCTTTCAACGCGAGCGCCCTGCAGCACAGTGCGCATCTCATTGGGAAAGCCAGTAGACTCAACAAAGAATATATCTGAAACAGCCTTCAACCATAGAAGATCTGAAATTACCAAAGTGAAACTATCAGCGATAAAACTAACTTGGTGTAACAAGCAAGCTTTGCAAGCGTAATGGCCGCAGTTCTCGAGACATATCCAAGCCGAATCAACGAAATCGAAACAAATAATACATTGAGGAGGCAGTCGGTCCACTCTTTTGGGGCCAGTCTCTTTTCTAATCTCATCAGAAATCTCACGAAGCGCGTTCTGTGAAAACCTCACCATAACATTATGCTGCAGCAGGCAAAATAGAACAAGAGTTAGGGTAATCATAACTAACCCTTCCCTTTCAATACCATAATAGCTCTGCTAAACTCAAAAGGTTGTTCCACAAACTAAAAATAACAATGAAGCAAAACAAGATCACTGACGAGATCTTCTAATTGGAGACTAACTATTGATACTAATCGAACGGCCAAAAACAGCAGACGGAAAGTGTAAACATTTTGAAAATTACACTGTAAACGCCACACCAATCCCTAACGCGAATAAGTTACAGTCCACCTCACAGCAGATTACTGTTAAAACTACGAGCGTTAGCATGAACTCTTAAATAAAAGAGAGGAGATTACTAAAGTACCAAAACCCTCTGGTAATCCTCCGCAGAAGCGTCAACATATATCTTGTGTTGTCCAAAATCTGGCTCGATCCTCACTTTACTACGATACAGAACTCCTACAGCATTAGTAGCAACAAGGTCCATAAAAGCAGTCATGGTCCCACTCATATAATAAGGCTCATCCACAGTGATTACAAATGGCCAATGCCAAGTACCCCTGGAATCTCCTGATTTTTACCAACATAAGAAAACAAGATACAATCAAGCAGCAACTGAAAACACAAATAAAATTTAGAAAAAAAACCAACGTTTTCTCCAAAAAATCTTGTATCATCTGCTGCGCCGACTTGATAGAAAGAGCGTTACCCTGAAGCTGAACGGACCGTTTGAAGAAATGAGTGGTTATTACAAGATTGCCATTCGCTTTAAATTGCAAAAAATGCAGAAACTCCTGACCAACACTACAAGGAAGAAATGAATTAAAAAAACGATACTACTTCCACATAAGTACATCTAAAAAAAAAAGAAATAGAAGTAAATGGCATACTTGGATAAAAGAGCTCTGTTTCTATTTCCTCTAGATGAGCAATCAATAAATACACCATCTATTAAACGGTCTACTTCCAACCTTGCCCAATGGGTCTGCCTGAAAAGAGTTGAGTAATAAGAGCAAACTTCGACTATAACCGTCAGTTAAGAGCCAACCGGCAATAAACGCATAAATGAAAAAACTACGCTTCGACCTACTCGAAATCATTCCCATTAACGTAAACCACTTTCTTTGAACCTACTGAGACACGACCTAAACTGACATGTTTGTGAAAAACCAAGCCAAACCGTTCCGCCAGTTTAGACAAATCCTGCTCCACTGCATGAAACAACTGCTCGGGAACAAATCTGGCAAACTGAATGAAGCTTTCTGACTTCACCTGTAATAATACCTAGTAAGCACTTAATGACCAATTCTGGTACGAAAGAAACTAAACACTCAGCCACTCTAACCAGTTATTTTAGAACACTACATACTTTCTCCAGGCGGAACAAAACTGAACTATTCAAGCCTTGCGCAAAACAGCAATGACACTATATCTTTTTTAAAAGCACAAATGTGATATAAAAGGTGTTAACCAAGAACAAAAAAATGCTCTGGATAGTCAAACGCAGATAAAATATTGGGAGCACTTGGAAATGAAACCTATACCAGACATAGGAGACCTTTCCGTGTGAGACAATGCGATGAGATTTATATAACGTTCCCTAGCTTCTAAAACGAGCGAATCAGAAAACGCTCGCTTTTTATTGACTAGATAAGAGAGAAGCAAAAAATCAAAGCAAAGAAAATAAGATTAAAAAAACCGAACTATATTCATGTTACTCTCATTCCCCATAAAAAGAGGAATACAATCTCTCATTTCCTTGTCAAAAACCGTCCTGATCTTAATAAAATTCTCATATGAGTCAAATACAATTTCCGCCCTCATCTGAAAATCACGACCGTCCTGTACTGGCAATACCCTGACCGTGAAAGGTGGAGCAGCGACCTCTGCAAGAAAGCGATCATCCACAGAGCCAGCAACAAAAAGAAGTAATTTTCGAACAGAGTTACGAAGGCTAAGAAAATGATCCCCTACCTTTACTATTCAACCCACTCTCCTTACCACCACCATTCTCGGAACTTGACGAGCTGAACTCACTCGCACTGTACCTCACACTCTGCCTTTCCATCGCATTTTTTATATAATTTGTAATGCGGCTAGCAAATCTTTCTCGACACCTAAAATCCCGATAAGCATTGAGAAAAAACTGATTTTGACGTCCTCCAGTATGTAACAGCAGTAGAAAACCTCAGAGAGCAAATTTAGCAACCCTGCTTTTTTGTCGACACCAAATTAGAAGACACCTCAAAAGCAGTAAAGTCCTTTAGATAACGATGTAATTGAATTTTAGGATTGAAACTGGTACCACCCCTGTCCATTAAACTGAGCTATACCTCAATTAGAAAAAAGAAATTTAAAGAAATAAATCCGAACAGACTTAGCAGATTCTGGAGGATACGCTTTACCACGTACTACAAAGACATCACGAATTTCAATCCCGTTACGAATAAGGACATCCGTAACTCTTTTCCTAATAATAGCTGAAGTTGTATCCTTGTCAATATGATCGGCCACTACCTAAACTTCTAATACTGACTAAAACTATCCCCTGATAGAACAGTTATAGGCGAAATGACGAAATAGTCCTTAAAATGCAGCAACTAAACATACCGTGTAATTCAGAGAAGTCACCCTGTCGTTCAAGTCCTAAAAAAATCTTTCTAACAGTAACTTGAGAATCAAAAAAGCGAGTAAAGCCAACCACCTCGTGTGAAGAAAACCCACAACTTTGTAACAGTGATACGGTTGCAGCACGCGCAATCTCGCTCTGAGCCGAAAGCTGAAAAACTGAAATGCCTTAAGACTATGTCGCATGACAGAAAAAGATAAACATGCACCGAGAAAAAAATCTACCTTGAACACTGCAGTTCCCTTACTCGGCCTCCTCCACCACTTAAGATGCAGTTCGAACCTCGTGGAACATTCAAACGTAGGTCTTTTCGCCACAGCAATGTTTCTGTTAGGCTAAGAAAACACATTTAAACAAAAAATATCGAATAAAAGATGTAATCAAATATGTTTCAAATAGTGCCGTGAAATGAAGCATATGGGCTTGAAAAAAGTCGCAGGAAACCTTAACAGCACCAAAATGCACACTAAGCTCTCAAAAAATTTAAACCAAAACTTCACACAAATCACCCAAAAATAATTAAATAAAAGGTCAGCGCCCAGAAAAAAGCTTTAAGAACTCTCAAAAACCTTTTCTGCAATAGCCAAACCCACGCAGAACTTATGATAACTCAGCATTTCGCAAATAAGCCGAGATAAACGACAAAATAAGTGTGCCTTCCCGTAGTCTACAGCCTGCCAAATGAAAATGGTCTCCTGATAAAAAAAGTTGGTGGCTCTAACACCTCATCAAAACTTGAAAAATCGGTTTGAAAATTTCTGAGATTTTTGACCTTCGCTAACGAGTAAGCTTGTAAAACGTTTAACAGTAGCCTCTACTTCCCTAATGAACAAGCACACCGCGATAACTCCTTCCTCCTTCTTTCGCGGCACTGACATGAAGCTCAGATAATAAACCTCCACGATGCCATCAACGAATAAAAAGATTGAAGCGAACATAATCAGTCAACACTAACCTTATAGAAATTTCCTTCTTCCTTTCCGTCTTTCACTAGAACTGTCACAGCAGCTTTAGCTGCCACTTTGGATCCAAAACTGAAAAGGTTGCTGAACCCCGACAAGTTCTGCGGTTTGAGGCTGTATTTGACAACATCGCTTCCACCCAACTGTAAATAGCAAAATCATTTCCAGCATATTGTTACGAAAGGTCTCTCAACTAAAAGACTAAAACACTTCTCTTGCCACTCAAATTGGCTCCTTTTAAATGAACTCTCATTTTAATAAAAAACAGAAATACAGTGAAAAATACCAAAAAAAAACTGCGATTAAACAGTTCATCGATCCTTTTGTCTGATTCACTCGGGCCTGCCTCCCCAACAAAAATAGAAGAGAATTCATTAGGGAAGAGTACCTCAAGTGGCATGCCTCCCAACCCGATATGTATCTGTAAGCTTACATTAACATCACAAGAACCAAGAGCAACCAAAAACACTGTTTATAACACCACGCGATGCATAAAAAACTCCTTACTCATCAAGAAATGAAAGATACAATCAATTTTTCCTATTAAAAACATATAACAGTCGACTGTTGCATGATCATTCCAGTACAAACAATTCATTTCCAAATTAAAAATCAATAATCAAACAAAAAACAAACCTTATAATTTGTATCTGGAACACAAAGTTCGAGTGAACATTCCCTCGTGTTAGCTGACACAGACTCCGTTTCTTTATTTACAATTCTTAGTAACTAAACAAAAAACATCTTTCAAAACTCGCAGATTGAGAATTACCCTTCTGTTTCACTGCGACCTCTATAACCCAGTAAAGAAGACCAAACAAGATACCTCACATATCCAAAAGTAATAGTTAACGGCAGCAGCAAACGACTGTAACATTTCAACGTCTTCTTACACAGCTGCGCAAACCTCTAGCCTCTTACTTATAAAAAGAGATGACTTATAAGAAATATACAAAATTTTGCCTCTGTTTTTGACTTCCTAGACACGATTACTGACAACCGTTCATATTGGTCGGTCTCACAGCCGCTAGCGATCATACACGGAAGACCCACCTAAACGAAAGCTTAGCAGTATTTTATTCCACAATCACGAACTACTGAAGAATCTTCCAGCAATTTATTAACCAAAAATCTCCTAAAAACTAGATGCTCCAAAACTCACTTTATCTTTTATTCTTTCAAACTTCTGAACGACCATTCTTTTAGCGGTTGGACCGACATTAAGCACAACAACTTCACCATCTTCCTAAAAAAACCAGCAGAAAGAAGAATGTTAAACGAACGACACCACATCTCAAGTACTCAGTCAAAAAAGAAAAAAAAAAGAGACAATCACATCACCGACAGCTATCTCAATTGGAAAGCTACGAAAAACCAAAACCAATCCAGTGTCACCCGGTCCAAGTTTCTGCATCAAAAAAGCTTAACAAACCCAAAGTGAGTTACTCTCTTTCTTCGCTGATAACAAAGATTTATAAGTGACCAGGACTATGTCAGTGACAGTGAAAATTAGCATTACAAACCAGCACCAAATCAGTATACAAAATTGCTTCGGTAACAAAACACACTGGTATAGCCGTCTTCTCAAGGTAGTTCCTCAGTATTGGTTTGCTGATAACACCCTCGCCATAACTGATGTCTCGCTTATATCGATGCTCTAAAAGAGGCAGTGAACAAAATATAGAACAATCATGGCTTTGTAAAAAAACTTCCAAATTCTCACTGCCCTGCAGTTATTTAACATGCGCTACTCGCGTAACTTGATGCTTCCTTCACTCTTTTTTGCCAAAATACAGCAAATAATTTAAAATTTCTCCTGTAGAAAATCTGGGCAAATACAAGCAGCAAAAAGATATGCTTAACGGAAGGCCTTGTGCAGTGAAAATTCTGCTTCACAGAAGGCAGCATTTCTCAAGATACAAAAGGCTTTAAGCTTCCAAAATCTCACGTAAACGGACTCAGTTACCGCTATCAACTTCCGTCCCCTCTAACGTTGAATCATTCATCGCTCCTTCTACTGGCGACGTCCTACTGAACCTGCCATCGTTAAAAGCAATGGAACGAAACTGAGGTCCTACTTTCTAAAAGAAAAATTGCTTTTTACCCCACAATCAACCTGCCGCAAAAAAACGGCCATTCATATCAACATTCCCCATCCGCTTAGTCCGCTGACCAGAGAATCATAAC